TTGACACCTTTACATCAATACATATACATACTTTTATTTCAAAAAAAAGTTCGTTATGTTTACTAAACTCCAGGTGCCATTCTTTTTTATCACATAAATATTTTCCTGCATAACTTGCATCCATTCCTTATATTTGGCTATTTATTCATAAGATGGTAGTTCAAACTTCACAAAGTTGCATTTTTTAAATAGATTTTAGATAAGAATTTTGTCTTGAGTTCATATGACTTAGTTGATGTGTTTGAAAGTGCATTCGTATTCTCATATGGTAGAATGTCAAGATCAACTAAGTTTTGTATCTACTTCAAATCTCTTCTTTCATTGCTTTCAACCCATTTTTGCTCCAAATTCTAATGAACATATTCATCATACATCTCTACTGATTTAAACCTGACCTGATTTCAGGTTATATATCCTATAACCTTTTGAGGCTGCTGCATTTTGGATGCCAATTTTAAATTTTTGAAGTATTTTTATGTATGTGACGAACGTTTTAGATTTCGTAGAAAAAATTCAGGAATCCAATACCCGTTAGGAGGCGTAGTAGATAATGCAACATCTTGAAACATCGATTCGGGTAAGAATCCCTCACCCTATTCCCTATTACGGTAAATTAAGACTTAATGATGTATGATTTTGTATTTTTGTAAAAAGTTAAAAAATCTTAAAAATAATTACAAGTCACTAGTGGAGGCAAAACCGATTAGTTCACAATATTCCTGATTTCTTATTTATTTTCTGTACTGTCCTACTTGCTTGTAATCGCATCATGCATGTTCTTAATTTATAGTTTCAATGGTCTTATCGATTTATCTAGTTTATTCGATTATCTGGTTACTCAATCTCTTATTATGATAAACTATATTGTCTACATAAATATCGTCTAATTGATCTGTAAATATAATATGAGATATTAGTATGTGTTTATTAGTTGTTTTGCTTAATGAGAATCTTTATATGAGAGACTTATTGGGTACTCAAGGAAAGGGCAAACGAGCCCGATACATAGGGAACCCTACCGTGAACGTCACCTTAGTCGGACAGAGCTGGAAAGTCCCATATCGAAAAGGTTTGGGAGATATGGTTCACCCTCATACTAGATGGGGTATTGAGGCGATGAAATGTTTAGCGCCCATTACTGGACGGGGTATGGGGATGACTGGTTAATTGTTAAAATTGAATATTGAGTTCACGAGTAGGGAAACATCTCTATGGACCCCCCAGGTGTACTAGTAAGCAAGTAAAAAAGAAAAATTTTCGTCTCTTGTTCTCTTATGTGTAAAAAAAATTATGGTTATGCCTTTTAATAAAGTTTGGTCCTCTTTGCTGCAAGCACATGTACATAACATATAAAATAAAAAATTTCTAAGTGTTTTGATGAAGGTTTCATACTTAACCAAGTTTCTATTGGAGGTTTGCCCTTAACTACTTTAGTTGACAATCTATTTAACAAGTATACTGAATTATGCTCACTTTCTGCCCATAATTCTTTAGGCAAGTCTTTGTCATTCATCAATTACCTTTCTATCTCAGTGACTAATATGTTCTTTCGTGAGAAGAGTTTTTCTACTATTGTTTGACCTTATAACCTTTAATCTACATCCACTTTGCACTTCAATCATATTCTTGAATCTTTTAAAAAATAAAAAACTTGTACTTTTCTCATTAGGAAATAACCGTCATTCTTGTATAATCATCAATGCAAAGCACAAATATTTATTTTTGTTGAAAGATTTGATGCATATAGGGCCACATACCAACATCTGTGTGAACCAACTCCAACTTTTCTTTTGCTCTCCAAGTTGACTTTGATTGGGAATGGTAGTCATGAGACTTTCTGAATTCACTGATGCCACATATAGGATTTTCTATAATTGAGAATTGCTGATGCGGAACCCCATGACCCTTGCTTGAACCTTAGAACTCTTCATTCAATGTAGAACAGAATTTATATCATAAGTAAAAAGGAAGCATATTTGTTCAATTACCCAAATAGTAGAAGTTAAATAGAACCCAAGAAAGATAAATGATATCCCCTTAACCCAATCCAAACAAGTACTAAGAACAATTGAAATAGGAAATCAAAATTGAATACAAGTGATAACAATTGTATTCCAAATCAACACCTTGTGCATAAAGTGAAAAGAAAGTCAAAACACTCTTAACTCAATTCTGAAATATTTGATTACCACTCTTGATGTCCACAAAGAAGAGTTCTTTTAGTATTTATAGCCAAAGAAATCAATGATAAGTTAGAACACAATAATTATAATTGTAACTCCCACAATAACTAAGCTAATTATGTGATAATTATAATTGTAACTCTAACAATAACTAAACTAATTATAGGCATGTAATTGTCATGTAACTCCTTATAACTCCAATCTTTTTAACCAACACCACTAATTGTTTGTGGCACCATATAATTATGGGCTCATTCTTGTAATAACACTAAGACAAGACTTAAGCCCAAATAAGTTACATTTGACTATATGAGCTTAATTAATTTAAACTAAAATAAAACAATCCAAAATACTTAAAACAACTCAACTAATCTAGCTCATACACAAAGCTTATTCACCCATTACCAATAAGACTCAAACAAGCGCAAATTATCCCAAATTATTTAAACCCAATTAAAGTTATGAATTTGGACTGTTCAAAAATCTCATGTTTGAACTTTTCATAATTGGCCAGCCCATCATCCACATGTTTTTGAGTGAAAACTTGAAGTAACTCTTTAAGCTTCTTTGCCTTTGATCTTATTACTGGTCTACTGAAACTTTCTAGGTTTTGAACTCTATTTGTGTTTACATCATTTGAAATTTGCTCCAACTTACCTTTTGATGCTCTTTGAGTATCTTGAGTGTTTTTAGCCTTGTTTGCATCAATTGCAGATCTTTTCTCAAGTCTTGAGACCGTATTTGTTGTAAAGAAATAAGATTAAAGTGGTCATATCTTTTATGCCATAATAACAAATTTTCATGTTTGTAATAAAAAGTACCATCATTTTCTTAAATTCCAATCCAAAGTGAAAGATTTATTAATCATAAGAACATGTGCAATATGTTAGTTTGAGTCATATATGTTGCAGCTTTGATATTTAAATGTTAAAGAATAGCTATTTGAAATCATTTGTGCAACACTTAACAAGTTTTGCGTCAGACTAGATATATAAAGTACATTATGAATATACTTAGTACCTTACTTGGAGTGGATTGCAATTGATCCTCTTCCTTGTGCTTCTACCACTTACCATTTCCAAGTCTAACTTTAGTGTTAACAAATTTGTCTAGGTTGCTGAACAAACCTTCATCATACGCCATATGATTGGTACAACCACTGTTAATGTACTAGATATGTTTACTTGAGTTGTGAAAAACCTGAGAAGCCAAAAACAAATATTTTGCTACTCTTGTTCGTCTGTATAATTAGCATGTTGTGTTTGCTCTTTCTTCCCCCTTGTTTGATTTTTCTTGGCCAACAATCTTTCTCTATATGTTCCAACTTTTTGCAATACCTGCATTTTATATTAGTTTTATTTTAAAACTTGAATCTTTATTTTTTAAAGTGAATTATTGTTTGGCATCTGTTAAAAGGAGGAAATTTATTTATTTTTCTAGAATTTTTTGGGATATCTGCAGCTTTACCTGTTAGAATAAAAAAACACTTTTCAAATCAATAGATTTGTAAATCTAAATACATAATCTCGTACTGGATTAATGAGAAAAGATAAACAGAAACATACCCGAATCTATCGCGGAAGATTCAATTGCATCATGCGGTAGGTACTTTCGAATTAATATGATCTCTCAAAAACTAATTTTTTCTAGTGATGGAATTTCAGAAAATAAAATGGCAATCTTATGATTTGGGAACCATAATCGCCTTTTATATTAATAAACTTTTACAATTTTCATTTTATCCATCATAAAACGAGAATATTACAAAATAGTATCTGCACATTAAAAACTCATATTTAAACTCGATGTATTAAGGCCCAATACTGTTTAACTGTATTTGATCACTTTTAAACGAGCTCATTAAATTAATAGCCTAATACGCATACCAAGACCCAATTACGCTCATATGTTAGAAAATATCTAACATTACCCTTTTCTATCCCATTCTTCTTATATCCCTTCCCTTGATGCTTCCCTTTTTGTTTGGCTTGGAATACACCTTCAACAGTCTCATCATCTTTGCGAATCATTCTTTGCTCTTGTACATGTAGTTTACTGATAAGTTCTTGCAACAATGAGGTGTGTTTGATCACATGACTTCTCAATTGTTGAAATCTTCGGTTCAAACCTTACCGATAAACTTATCAATATTTTTTTAATCATTTTGTTATATGAAAATAACTCTCTAAATAATTTTATTTCATTCATAATCTTTAATAATTTTCCAATATACTCTTTAATAGTCCCACATTTCTTCATTTTATTCATCTCAAACTCCATTTTTCAGTGTAAGAAGTTTAACACATTTCATCTTATCACTACCTTCATCTCCAAGTAGAGTTTCTTCTCTACCACTTTCTAATGCTTCCTACAAATTGAAGGCCTCCAAATAGGCTTTCATTGTGATCCCGAAAAACTTGTTTGAAGATATACTTCTATTGCTTTCAAGGTGTTTGATTTCTTTTCCTTACAAACACTCAATATTACATTTTCATAGGTCCTTCAAGAATAAAAATTCTATACTATTTTGATAGATAATTTTAGGAAGAAAAAATATAAATAGAAATTTAAATTTTCCTTATTATATTGTGTTTAAAATACAAAAAAAAAAAAAAAATTATATGAGAAAGAAGATACATATATAGGATGAATCATACATAAATATTACTTAAATGCACCTTAAATTCATGTCATTTATATGCGCTTTAAAATTTATGTATCTGTTTATGCATACATGTACCTTAACATAAATATCCATTAAGAAAAGTTAATATATTAAGAGATGTGGCATCATTCCACTTCTGCATAAAACAAGCAACGTGTTCAGAAACGAACATATCTTTTCTCCCCTACTTGGCTCTTGGTGCCTACTTTTCTCCGATTCTTCAGATAATAGAAAAATGGCAGATACCAGGATTGGCAATAACGGCAACCCGGCTTTGGATCCAGATCTCGACCAGCCGCATGCTCCGGGTCATGAGTTCGCGCAGTTTGGAGCAGGGTGCTTCTGGGGAGTAGAGCTGGCGTTTCAGCGAGTGGTCGGTATCTTGAAGACGGAGGTGGGCTACTCTCAGGGCCACGTTCCTGGCCCCAATTACAAACTTGTGTGCTCCGGTGTCACCGACCACGTTGAGGTTGTTCGCGTCTAGTTTGACCCGCAAGTCTGCTCGTATTCCGATCTCCTCTCCGTTTTCTGGGCTCGCCATGATCCCACCACCCTTAATCGCCAGGTAACTATTGGACAACCTTCTCAGTTCGGCTTACTGTTCTGACCGTGGCTTCAATACTCTTTAAAATTTCCTTTTAATGATTGTTTTCTTTTCCCTGTTTCATGTGTAAAATTTACTAAATTTTATAATATATCAACATGCTATAACGTGTCGAGGATGATTTTCAGAATAGCTATTCATGTTATTAGAAAAATATATAAGGATTAGAGATATTCAGGGAGACTGTCTGGTGAGCCTCGCGGTCGATTAGTTGGAGGCTAATCTACGTGTAAAAATATGTAAACCAGTTTGGGTAAGGATGCTCGAGTTTTTATCTGCGTTTGCAGTCTGATAATTAAGTTAATATTTAGAAACGATGGAAATATCTGAAGAATGGTTCAATGCTGATGCATATTCTTGTGGCGGTTCATAGTCCATATATAAACTTATTTCTGAATGCTCGCTCATTAAGGGTTTGATAGTGGAGACTAATTTGAGACTAAAATAGAACATAAATGAAATTGTGTATTAATCAAAGATCATGTCAAGGGTTTGGATTAGTAGACTTTCCATGCAAAGGCTGTCTGAGCTTGCACATTTGTTGCTGGGTTATTTTTCAATACTTTGGTCATTCAATTTTGTTGTTTCATAAGGAAATTGAATGTTGTCTTTGATGTGTGAAAAGGATGTTGTTAGGAGAAGTAAGCTGTATCAGGGATGTGGGAATTTATGGGATAGAGATGATGACTTTCTGTCTGTTGATGGGAAACGAAGTCCCAATGCTGGGATACCTTGCTTGATAAGGACTAGAATTTTGTTATCTCGGAGTAGTTTCAATGTAAGCTTTGAATGTGATCATGTGTTTGGTTCAAGACTTTCTTTTTTAAATATTAAATGATTAGTTCAAGACTTGATTTGCACATGCACACAAGAGAAAAGCTATTAACGTTGAGATTTTGTTTCATTTGTCAGGGTGGAGATATAGGGGCACAATACAGATCGGGAGTGTACTACTACAATGAGACCCAGGCTCGTTTAGCCAGGGAGTCTATGGAAGCTAGGCAATTGGAATTCAAAGATAAGAAGATTGCTACGGAAATTCTGCCAGCTAAGAGATTCTACAGGGCAGAGGAGTACCATCAGCAGTATCTGGAAAAGAGGGGAGGTAAGGGCATTAAACAATCTGCTGAGAAAGGTTGCACTGACCCAATCAGATGCTATGGTTGATATTTAGGTGTTAGCTTCATATATATCAATTAGAAAGCTTGACAGTTGCTATTCCTATAGTATATTGCCTTTCTTTTTTTTGAAATAAAAAGTGTGAATTGTATTACAAGTACCTAGGGGGTGCTACTATTACAGTATATGCTGTAAAAAGATCTACTGTTGTGAAAATGTTCTATTGTCTGCATTTTATATTTTGTATAGATTTCCGGGAAATCTACTAATAATAGCTGACTTCTTTTATTTGCTTAAATTTGGTATCTTTCTCTTTAATTTATCATGTGCAACCAAGAGTCTCTTTTCACGTAGTTTTTAGACTTGCCACCAAATGATTCCAAATGCTTATTGCAACAAATAGAGTACATCATCACCAAACTTGAGACAAATAATTTTATTTGTTTATGAACCCATCGTACATTCAATTTTTAACACAGAAGATTGACAGCCTTTGAATGAGATCAGAGCTAAATTGAGTAAGAGTTTTGCTTAGAGCTCATCCTTAGGATAGAGTGGAGGTTCAGTAGGGTTAGTTGAGCTGTTCTTAATGGGATATGAAGCATCCATTGCTATACCACACAGTCCCTCTTCAGATGAGATTCCTCGCTCCATCCTAATGTAACCCTTCTCTCCCCATTCAGTTCCCCAAGAGTTTTTAACTATCCAATACTTTGTTCCATCAAGAGTGGTTCCATATCCTACAGCAGCGACTCCATGATTCAGCTCCGTCCCACATTCGCCGGTAAATACACCCTGCACTCAAATTCAACAGAGAATGATCAAAATGTTTGATGGTTCACTGCTAGAATAGCTTGATTTCTGAAATCTTCTTATGCAAGTTTGTTATAATACTTATGGTGTGATTTTCTCCATAAGAGTTTCTTAACGGCAATTGTAAAGAAGTTAATGAGCAGGATATCTGCAGGTTAATGTTGATATGCTGGATTTAGCTTTTGCCTGCTCTGATCCTAAAAAACCCATGTTAGAGAATAGCATATCTGGTTGATTGAAACATCCATTAGAAGCAGCTAGATGTAAGTTTGTCTTTTTACCATGTACGATTGAAGTCAAAGCTTAGAGGTAAAGAAAAATAAAAATTCAAAACACACATGAAAGTTACCTCTGAATAGAATTGGAAGTCTGAACTTCCTGCATCTATAGCCACGGACACAGGCTGATTTGCAACTGCTTTGAGCAGAGCATCTTCATTATTTGCTGGCACATTCTCGTACCCGTCAATGGAAGCTATTGGATAATTTTCCTGCATAGTTATATAGTTCATTTATGGGAACTGTTTTGGTCATTGTGAACATGTTAATTTTATGGAATTAGTGAAACCGAATCCAATTTCTAGGTTCGATATGATGAATTAACCTTGGTTTTATCACAAGTTCCATCCTCAGCTTGGTATGGATAGTTGGACTCAGTTGTGATGCCTCCCTTCTTCTTGATGAAATCAAATGCAAGTTCCATAAGACCTCCATTGCAGCCTTGATTTTTTTCAGTGTCACAGTCAATTAACTCTTGCTCAGAAAGTGACACTAGCTTATTTGTCTTAATTTGGTTAATACCCTCAACTGCCACAACAGTTGAAAATGCCCAGCAGCTGCCTGTAAAATAAAATTACCCAAATAGAACAATCAGTTTCAGAGAGTAGGTTAGAATATCAAGCACCTTACTGTTACTTTATTACCCAATAAATAGTTAGAATATGTTAATACAATCAAAATACTAAGCAATCAAAACCCAATATGGCAATGGAATCTGTTTTTAACATTGTTTAGATGTTCAGAAGTTATTGATGGACAACTAAACATGAATAATTTAAGCTTACCACATTGGCCTTGATCTTTTACACCGGTGACTGCACCTTTCTTCCTCCAATCAATGGATGCTGGGATTTTGTCAACTTTTTCATACATGAAGCTCCCAGTTCCACGTGGCGGCCCTTGGAACATCCTGTGATGCTTAATCTTTGATCCGGCAAAGAGGCTCTTGAATTCATGGTTAGTTAAATCTGCAAACTTGTTTAATTTCAATTTGTAAGGCTTATCCTTCTTGTTGGTATTGTGAACATGCATGACATTGTGCTTGAAGACATTGAAGCGCTTAAGTTTCTCGTCAAGACTCCTAGACACAGTGTGATGGCTTCTCCACTTCTCGTACAAATCCCATAATTTGTCCTCGGTTTCCAACTCTTTCTCGTCGAAATTGAAACTCTGAACCACTCCTATTGCAAGAATGAATGAGAAAAGAATGAAAGCAAGTTTTTTGGTTTCCATTGTTGTTGTGTATTAGATACTTTGTGAAAGAGAAGCTTAGAGGGGAGGGTGTTTATATAGGGAAATGAAGATAAGAGATAGTGATGGGAAACAGAGGAAGATACAAGGAATAATAAATGAAGAAGTTAGAGGTTCCTTATGGGTATTACCAATATGTAATGTAATATATAAGGGAATGATATGAAGATGGAACTAAAATATAGAATAATGGGCTGGCGAAGGAGATTGCAAAAGATTTCTATACATATACATATATGTATATGATGTATATGTATATGTGTATGTATAACTGAAATGGTATAGAATATTCAGGAATCTAAGTAAACGTGTTTTTATATAGGTGATTAATGTACTTAAAAAAAAAAAAAAACTTAGAAAAGTTTTGGGGGGGGGGGGTTCATGTGGAGCACGTTAGGATATAACGTGGAAGGGATCAGATGAGACCGAGACGAGATGGGGAAGTGTTGCGTGTAGAGGCCATTGAACCAACGATACTTGTGCAACTGGAACAACTCAACTCTCTAACGGCTTTCTGTGCCTTTCACTCATCATTCTCACAATAGTGAATATATGTATACATATATATGTAAATATATGTGTATGAGCACCCACGATTCCATAATTGCCTCATCACCCATTTTATAATTGTCGAATCGTGAATCAAATCAAATCAAATCAAATTGTAAGATTATATAAATCAGCGTTAACATCCCACAATAAAGTGAAGTTAATTTTGTTTCAGTGCTCAAAAAAAGGTACATGAAAATATGTTTTATTATTATTATTATTTTTTTTCTAAAATTTATATATGTTTGTATCAATGAATATATATGTAATAAAGTACAATTTTTTTTTATATAAAAAAATAAATATTTAAAAAAATTTAAATTTATTATTAGTGTTAGTATCATGCTCCTTATACTTGATTAATTTATGCAATTTTGTTAATAAAATCTTACATATAAATTTAAAAAACATTTTAATTTACTAAATAAATTCCTATACTTTTTTTCTAACATCCAAAGCCGTGCAAAATTATTAAGAAGCATATGTCAATTTGCAACATCAATTTCACACGAAAATATTGATAAAAATATAACACATTTGGGGGAAAAAAAAAAAAAACATTTAAATATAATTGGGAATTAATAGAGTAGAGATAGATTTATTTGGTTATGAATTCTTGGAAATTTGGTTATAAACAACATGGAAGTATGTAGTTATATAATATATATATATATATATATATATTATGTAAAGAAAGCTTGTGTGTGTAAAAGGAAGAGTGGGAATGATTTGCCAAAAGGGAGTAGACGTTGTAGTAAGATAACTTCGTGCATGGCGTGACGTACATGGATTCATGATTGTTACAACATGATACGCACGCACGTATATTTTAGCAGATAATTACGAAAATCAAAGGAAAAAAAAAAATAATAATAATAATAATAATAATTTGGGTGAGAGCATTGGAATTTGTCTTCTATTTTTATAATATATGTTATTGATTTTTCTATTCTATTCACCCTTTTATAAACAATTTATTTTAACATTTTAATATTTTCTTTTCACTAAACATGAATTGCAGTATATTAGATAAATGATATTTTAGCCAATGAGTATAAAATATATCTGAAAATTAAACTTTATAGTTTTTTTGCAAGGCTTTTAAAACAGAGTTCTAGGGAGAAAAAAAAATAATTTTTAATCATATATTTAAAATTTTTTAAACTATTAAATAATTCATATATATAATGAAGAATTACTTAAATCACAATTACTATTTAACAAATTAAAAAAAAAATTCTTAAACTTGATAAAACGATAAAAATTACTAAATGTTCCAAGAATACAATTGTCGTTATTCTTCTTGCTCTTTTATCATAAAGTTATAAAGATAAATTCGTCCATTATTCAAATTAACAGTTTTAAAATTTATCTAAAATATAAAAATAGAATCAAGTTACTTATATACAATTCTTTAATTTTATAACATTTGAAGCACCATTCTTAAAGTTGTAAATTACAATATAGTAAAGATTTATGAAAACTCCAGTATCTGAACCATAAAAGAATTTAAAGATAGGTCACTTCAAATTTTTCATTTATTAAAATCTTCTAAATCATTTATAAATCTTTTACTCTATATTTTCTTACTATAATCTTGAATCATGCAAAATTTAATATAATCTCCCATGTTACAAGCACTTACTAATAAGTCAAGCTTTCCTTCATGGTTCACGAGCTCCATCGGTTCCATTGTCGCATCCTCTGGTAATGAAATCTTATCCCAAGTCTTTATTTCTTGATGGAATGCAAGTATACAATTACGTGATGTGAGCTAATGACATACACCGCAAGCAAATACAATAGGTTCACCTTGTGTAATGAATTCACCCCTACGAAGTTTAACATCTTGTAGTCTTTTCCATGCCCAAATCTTTGAATCAAAAATCTCATAATGATAAGTAGGAACCTTCCTATATGATCTTGGTCGATAGCTTGAAAATTTTATAATGCAAAAGATTTGACCGAACTACCATTATGGTAATTCCAATTGTACAATAACAAGTTTTAGGATTTGATAATACTCACCATTATTTAATAACAAATTTGAAAATATAATATATAAGAATTCGAGTCAACAACGAGTTTGTGTCTATACAAAGAAAGAGACCTCGCATTAAACTTGCATGCTTTAACCTTCAACAAATGAGCAGGCAAGAAGTAGACTGAAAAATGAAACAATATGTATATAAAATCTACAATAGTAGATGCAATAGCATGATAAAATTTTAGCTCTTTGGCTATGGCACGTAAAAAAGATGATTCATATGTGAGATTATTGCATTTTTTTTATATAGTAGCCTACATTTTTGCCGCAATTTTTGTTGATGATCTAAATAGTATTTCATAGAGAATATAAGAAGAGAATTTAGTGGACTCTATGTGATTTTCTTAACTTTTTTTTTTTTTTTGGGTGTGAATATTTGAATTAGAATATAAATAATAATAAAAAAAGGTTATCATATATATATATATATATATAGAATAAAGATTCTTGAAGTTCAAATAACAACCTTATTTAATTATTACTCAATTTACTAAATACGGTTGTATAAAAATTATCTTATTAAGTAGTAGTTAAATTCGGATTAAGCATCAAGAAACAACTAATTCTCAGCAATTACATCAAAAAACTTTTATTTAAAGTTTATAAACTAATTAAATAAGAGGTACTTCAGATTATCTTTGCCAACTATAAGTTAACCTATGTATAAAATAAATAATATGCAAATAAATAGATTTAAGGAAAATCTAAACACCTCTTTTAACTTTTTTTTCTTATTTAATGACTTAAAATTCTTATTTTCCTAGTATTTTTAGTTTCTTATTTAATCTTTAAAAAACTTACCAACTCAATTCAACCAAATATCCAATGACCTTCTAGAACTGCAACAAATGATCAGTAATCTTATTAGTCTACATATTTCTCACACACATTACTCTCTTATCCGTAGTTTAAACTAAGTTCCTTGTAGCCTGAAATACAACCTATTTCCTTTGAGGGTCACAAACTGATGTCAAGTCCCAGTCACTCTTCCTAATCTGAACGCGTGCAGAAGATTGTAAAATTTATCATGTAAGAAGAACCTCTTTCCCGAGCTATCAACCGCTTTTTTCCTTCCACACAATCCACCATCTATAATTTTCTTGAGATCTTCACTGTCTTTATAATGGGGGTCAAGTATAAGAAAAGCGCAATCTCCACTTGCTTCATTAAAATCAACTCCCAAAAGTGTATATGCAAGAACACCACCACCTGCATTAACACCAAGCAGCGAGCAGTTAGTTCATGCTGAATGAGAATCCATTCCAAAGGAGCTAAACAGAACTCTTAATTAAGAGTTCGGTGAAAAATGCACTCATCAGCAGGTGTGACGAATCTGATTTTGCACCATCCTTTGTCAAGAGAAGCAACAGCTAGATTGTAAGAATGGCAGTTCATCTATCTTACCAATCATAATGGGTGTTCCTTGATCCTCAAAGTGTAAGGCCAAAGCTTGACACTTTTCAGGCAGCTCAGATCCAGATCTAACATTCATGATTTTGTAACTGACCTGCTCGAGAAAGCCCCTTGCTAAAGCCATAGGCTAGATATGCCCCTTATTAGAGAGATCTTTCAAGCTGATTGAAACTGGTAATCCATCTCATACTCTGGTCTGTTAATAATGTAGACTAGAATATTTACAGGATTTCTTATGGCATACTTACACCAAGAAGCTTATCCAAAACAAAGCTCAGCTCAATGGCACCAATCCATTCACGTGACCCAATAAAAGAAGAATCCTTGTCACCACCATCTGCAAGGCACCGTTGAATTTCACTAAGAAAAAGCACTTCTATCAGATCTAATCACATCAAGATGGTCACAAATTGGAGGATTCTACTCCCAGTTTGTGATTTATGACATAAAGACTAAGAAAAAAAAGGTGCACAGTGAGATAACAAAGCTTGAGCTAATTCAGAAGCCTGGAAAGAAAAACAAAACTAAAATTTCAGAAGCCTGTAAATAATGTAGACTAGAATATTTACAGGATTTCTTATGGCATACTTACACCAAGAAGCTTATCCAAAACAAAGCTCAGCTCAATGGCACCAATCCATTCACATAAGCCAATAAAAGAAGAATCCTTGTCACCAACATCTGCAAGGCACTGTTGAATGTCACTAAGAAAAAGCACTTCTATCAGATCTAATCACATCAAGATGGTCACAAATTGGAGGATTCTACTTCCAGTTTGTGATTTATGACATAAAGACTAAGAAAAAAAAGGTGCAAAATGAGATAACAAAGCTTGACCTAATTCAGAAGCCTGGAAAGAAAAACAAAACTAAAATTTTGGCATCCTTTTAGCAATGGTATTGTCTTGCCTATGTGAAGGAAGATTGACAGATGTGTAATGTTGAAGTCTGAATCACGAAATAATAGGTTGGAGAGAATGATAAGCACACCCCCAACCCTGGCAACAATTATATAAAGAAGTCAATATGCGAAAATTAATACTAAAGTTCTTTTTTAAGAGATACTATCTATGTATTTACCACCCAAAAATCCTGTGACTAACGTAGCTTCATTTCAAGCAAAAGAAAACATATAGCAAAAAGAATTTATAAGCGTTTCCTATTGCAATGAGAAACTAAGTCAGAAAATAAAAGCTGCTTTATGTATCTATAGCATGCAAATGCAAATGCGCATTATCTAAATAACCCTTAGGACATTTTCATTTCTGAACAAATGAGTCGAGTTGATACCGACTAGAATGGGATCCACAATCTAGTTTCTGGAACTTCTAGTAACTAAATAATGGGCCAGATGATGCTCCAATGGAGTTTCTCCACCCATATGGCAGAAGATAGGTGAAATAACCTATCCCTTCCTGAAACTTTTATTGGCAAACTAGAAGCCTATTTTATTTACCTATAGCATGAAGATGCAACTAAAGCAGAGATGCACATTACCTCCCTGAGCCTTAGGACACTTTCATTTCCACTCTACAAAACGTTGGGGTGTAAATAAACCATAATAAGATACAATTCAGTACCTGCAGCTTCCAGTGACCAAAATAAAGTTCAAGATGCTGCTCCCATGGAGTTTCTCCACCAATATGGCATAAAACACAGGTGAACCAAACTGTTGCTAACACTACATATTGTAGAAAGTATCAAATGTGATAAATGTTAACTTTACAAGGGGAATGTCTTCTACGACACCAAATGCAAGGATTAGAGAGCTAGTAAGTCAGCTACAATCTTCCTTACAAAAAGGAGCCATTGTCACTCAGAAAATGTTACTGAGCCGGAAGGGGAGATTTGTGTTGTTTATCAGCATGTGACACATGTCCAGACGAAAGCAAAGAAGAACCAACCTACATCTTTTGTATTTTCTGGTTTACTACTTCTTAGTTAATTATTTCTTGGGTTGGTCTTTATTTTATTTATGTAATAAGTGCTCGACTTGAAATTAGAACGAGTATCGGGTCTGTAAATGAGGGAGGCAGTCACTTCTGTTTGGGTCCTAAGGAGGGATTCTAGTTCTGGTATAAGGAATAGAATATGAATCTAAATAAGAATTATGCATAAACTCACCAAACATTTTTCTTCTCAATTTTATGAGATTCAAGTGTTCTCTCTCTAATTATGAATAAAATATCTTTAAGGTTCCTCAAATCATAACTATTCAGTAGGGATGTTGCTTCCAAATTAGATCAATAGTTTCCACTGATAAAAAAAATTTAACTACCTAGTTAGTAACTAAAGTTTTAGGTTTGAATACGCAGTACAGACTTTTGAGAATTAAATTTCAAAAAACCCAATTGCAGATTTCACTGCTCAAACAGCCCACTCAAACTTCTATAACAAAAGGAAAACCACGAAAGAACCAAAAAAAAAAAAAAAGCAAAAGAAGGCAATAAAAAATAGAAGGTATTATACCTTCCGCAGGCGAGAAGACCGGAAATGGCAGCATTATAAACAAGAACATCCCAGAACTCCTTCGTCTGAGGCAAATTCCTAAACAAAACCACCAACTCATTTCCTATCCCTCTCTTTCCTAGCAATGGAAACAAAACGGAACACGCGCGGGGTGTTACCAGAGATGGCTCCTGCAATCCCATCCACTCAAAAAACCACAAGAAGCAAATCAGTTGACCATGTCGACCCATCAGGACCAACGTCTTCACACAATCTCTCTCACTAACTCTTCCTTCAAAAGCTCCTAACATCTCCCCTAAAGTGGTATTATGCGGTAGACTCTGGGCAACTGGCATAATTTCTCCCACAGCACCCTTTGGTAATGGAGTTGGATGGCTTCGAGCAGAGAAACAGGAGACGTTTCGAAGCAAGGTCATGGCGATATGGAAACTTATCGATGTTAGTGAAGATAAACCCCGAAGAAAAAGCTTGGCACCGGCGTGACTGCCAGATGGGGAAAGGTCTACGACCCCTTTATTGTCTCATAACTGCTAACGTTTAAAAATAATTTTCTCAAAGTAATTATTTAATATTACAGTTAATAAATTATTTTATAATGTTAAGCTATAAATAATTAAAAATTACTGGAAGCAACTTCAAGTCATTGTAAATACAAAATCTATTATTAATAATTGCTCCAAATACACTATAGCAACCAAATTAAGAAAAATAAATTATATAATATTCATATATACATTCAAAAATTACTATAATCACAATCACTACTTAACAAATTAAGAGAAAAGAAAAAAAAAATTTATTAGATTTTAGAAAACGATCAAAACTGTTAAATGTTCTAATAATACAATTATTGTTGCATTTCTTACTCTTTTATCATTGAATTCTAAAATAAATCAATAGTTTCAAAATTTGTTTGAAACATGAAAATAGAATCGTACCAATATCTACATTTCTTTAGTTTCATGATATTTGAAGTACCATCCTTGAAGTTGTAATGTACAATCTCATAAAAATCTATAAGAACCACAGTATCTGAACCATAAAAGAATTTAAGGATAAGTCACTTTATTTTCTCTATTATTTTAGTTTTAAATTATTATTAACTCTCTTGTTCCATATTTTTTTATTATAATCTTGAATCACCCAAAATCTAATGTACTCTCTTGTCTAACAAATATTTACTAAGCTAAATTTTCCTTCATGGTTCACGAGCTTCGTCAACTCAGTTAGGGCCTCCTCTGGTGGTGAAATCCTATCCCAAGTCTCTTTGTCTTGATGAAACGCAAGTATACAATTACATGATGTGAGACAATAACATACACCGCAAGCAAATACAATAGGTGTACCTTGTGTAATGAACTCATCCCTACAAAGTTTAACATCTTGCAATCTCTTCCAAGTCCAAATATCTTAATAAAAAATCTCGCAATGGTAAGTAGGAATATCACTGTATAATCTTGGTTTTGATAACTTGAGAATTTTATAATGCAAAGGATTTGATCGAACTACAATTATGGTAATTGTACTTGTACAATAACGAGTTTTAGGATTGGGTAGTATCCGCCATTGTTTAATAGTTGGTTAACAAATATAATATATAAGAATTCGACTTCTTAATGAGTTGGTGTCTACGCAAAGAAAAAGACCTTGCCTGTACTCGCATGCTTCAATGAATGAGCAGGTAAGAAGTCGAAGTTCATGTTGAAATCAAAATTGGGTTTAAAAACTGAAACAAACTCTGTATAGTAACCACAATTACTTATACTTTGGATGCAACAACCTGTTAAAATCATGGCTTTTTGGCCATAGGCATGTAAAAAAGTTAATTCGTACGTGAGATTGTTGTATTCTTTATCAAGAATGCCTGCATCTTACTATAGTTTCTATTGATTATGTAAATAGTATTTCAAAAAGAATATCGGAAGAGAACTTAGTGGACTCCATGTGATATTTAAAATTTTTTTTTTTGTAAATGCTTGTACGAGAATATAAATAAATATAGTAGATTATGATATATGTTTATATAGAGTTAGAAATTCTTGGAGTACAAGTAACAACCTTATTTAATTTCTACTCAATTTACTAAATATAGTTATGTAAGAATTAGCTTATTAAGTAGTAATTAAATTTGGGTAGAACTGCTATACAGGTATTTAAAATTTTTAGGGAACCATAAATATTTGTTTCCCAATAAAATAGATTAGTAGGGGTGTTGATGAAATGGGAAATAATTAAGAAAGTATATCGTGGCAATAATATATCCGTGAGATTACCAAATAAATGTGGAATTAAGCTTGATATACTCAAAATTCTCTCTCTCTCTCTCTCTCTCTATATATATATATATACATGTATTTATAATTCAAAGGATGTAAATATCTAGGAATCAAGTAAACGCCCTTATTATATAAGCGTAATTAATGTAGTTAAAAATGAAAATGAAAAGAGAGAAATTTTAATATAGAAAGGTTGTTGGCAGAGGAGATTAATTAAGATCTTTCTATATATAATATAATATATATATATATATATGTTTATATGTATGCATAATTGAAAGGGAATAGAATATTTAGAAACCTAATTACACGTCCTTATTCTTATTATATAAACGTGATTAATGTAGTTAATAAAGAAAATTTTAGAAAAAGTTTTAACATGGAAGCAATTTATGATATAACTATGACTTCAATTATCAAAATAATAATTAGCACCTAAATGGGCTTCATCAACCATAACACAAATTAATATCCTCATCAAATACTATATATATATATATATATATGTCTATAAATATACACACACACATAATTTTCTCATCACCCAGTACATAATTTTTTGTTCATGACTTAAATTGTAAACTAAAGATTTAATTTCTTGAATTGGAAGTCCTGAATTAAATGGGAGAGTAATATTTAGAACATAATTTAGTATTGGTTATGTATCGTTTTGAACAATTTAATTACTCAGCCAAATTTAATTTATAAAGTGAATAAGTTTTATTTCTATATTAAAAACATATATAAGAATTGTATGTTTGCGGAATAATCAAAATTTTATACAAAATAATAAATATTTTAAAATTTCTAAACTTATCATCATGTTTACAGTCATTCTCTTTATACTCATGACTAATTTACAAAAAAAAAAAAAAAAGGTGTATATAAATTTAGAAAACAAAACTAAGAAGAAATTATTTTCATTTAACAAATAAAGTATTTATTTTTCTAACATTGAAATCTTTGCAAAATTATTAACAAGTATTATCTAATTCCCAACACACGGAAAATCTATTTCATAAAAATATAATTGAAAATTATTAAAGGGTTGAAATGAGTATTTATTTATTTGTTAAGGAATTCTTAGAAGTTTTATTAGAGGGTGAAAGAGTAAATGGAAGTACTTATCTGCTTAGTAAGAGTGGGAATGATGGTCCGAAAAGGAGCAGACGTCGTCCTACTGAGATAACTTGATGCATCCCCTGATTATAACCTCCTTAATCCCTTCTTACACAAACCTAATCCTAACTGGTTAGTTTGACCTACAACTGGCAAATTTCTTTTAATTTAAATTTCCATGTATAATAAGCATATAAATTCATTGAAAATAACATAATAAGTTACGAAATTATAAATAAAAAAAAGGTAAGGGAAATAATCGACAGGGATTAAATCGAAAACAAATTGATTACTTCGGGATAATCTGAAATTATGAAAAAATGTTATAAGTGAATTGGGATAAAACGACAAAGTTTGACACCTCACTTGTACTGAAGAGCCAACCAGAGGGCGACATGCGACAAACTTGCGTCACTATTTTGTTGTTATCGGGAACGAATGGGACCATGATGTGGGAAATCGAACGGCAGAAAGAGGCCAGATCGCCTCATTCAAATCAACGGCCATGATTAAATCGTGTTCGGTATAAAAAGAACCCCTGCGATCGAAAATAATGTATATATAAAAAAAAAAACAGATCAAATTCTAGGAAGTTGCGAGTGAAACCCAAACCCCTGATGGGTTCAGCCTTTTCAAAATGGGCAAAAAAAAAAAAAAAAGGAAAGAAATTAAAAATAAATAAAGGTAATAATTAATTTTACTCCAGAAGCATGTAATATAGGTCTAAGTTGAAATGGGCTCACCTAATAGTAATGGGGTAAAAGTCTAGATAATTAATTAAGTTAATTAAAGAAAAATCGTATTAAACCCCTGATTAGGTAAATGTATACATGACAGTAATATTAGCAATAAAAGTATTACCTTAAATAATAATAATAATGGGAATGCATTATGTAACGCTCGAAAAATTTGGAAAAATTTGTTATTTTATTATTAAATATTTTTATTAAGTTAAAAAAAAAAGTGCCACGTCAATAGTCACGTCAGCAGACCCAGTCAGCAGTCCTGGGCCAACCAGGACCTGCCACGTGGCAAAACCACGTCGACCGGGGACGAGCCACGTTGGCGATCCGCGTACGCGCGATCGGACGGCCCAGATCAAGCGTGCGCACGGACGGCCCAGATTCAATCAAAAACGGACGGCCCAGATTAAATCAAAATGGACGGCTGAGATCAAAAAGTAAAAGGGTATAAATAGAACCCCCACACCTGACCACAAAAACCCTAGCGTCCTGCCCTCGCCGGAGAAGACGAACCAGACGCCGGAGAAGCCGGCCGCCGCCACCCGCCGCCGCACCGGGGAGATTTCCGACCGCCGATCGAGGTAAATTTCATACCCCCGACTCGTTTTTCCACGCTGATTTTCCCTGTGGCCAAATCGGAGCCAAAAACACGGCCGAAACCCAGCGGCGCCGCCGCGTCCCTCCTCGGTTTTTGCCTCCGATGAGGTCCTTCCCGTCCTCCGTTTGATGCAATTTTTATATCACCGTGATCACCATTCTTTTCTCTACAGGTTGATCGGAGCCGAATCACCAAAACACGAACCTCACCGGAGAGCCGCCGCACCCGAGAGCACCGCCGCCGGTAAGCTTCGGTTTTCCTTAATTTTTTGGCCCCCCGAGGGCCCTAGGGTTGTTTTATCGCAAGGACCGATGCAAGTGTGGCTGAATTCGGTCGGAAACGGCCGAAAACGGCCAAATCAAGGCGAATCGCCGCCGTGCCGGAATTGCGATATTGGCCAAAAAGGGGCCCTGGGCCTAATTTGGGATTTTTTGGAACACGTGCAGGTACCAGTAGTGCGTTTCAGTTCCCCGAAAAAAATTCAAGAAAAATTAGGGACAGCCTGTAGGCGCACTGTGAAGCCGTGTTCGGACCCCGAAACGAGTAAGGACCCCTCACCCTATTTCCTATTACGGTATTAAAGTTCAAAAATGATAAAACGGTATTTCTTGAATCAAAGAATGTGTGAAATTGCTTAAGGTCGTTAATGGAGCCCGAGTCTAGTGTGTTTGTCGGTTAACTGTTATTTGACATATTTTACAGTTTTAAATGCAGTATGAGGTCTGATGTTTTCATTTCATTGTTTCGCGTGCATATTTTACTG